CCAGGAGGCACCAAATAGGAGATGAGCTCAAGTCACAGTGAGCTGGCAGCCTGGCACTGTGTGTGGGGCTGATGAGCTGTCTGGACCTGCTTGGGTGAGGGGGGTTGGTGAAAGAAGACTGAGTGGAGGAGGAGGGTTAAGCCTGGAGAAGCAGCCTTTTCTGTAATGAAAGATCTTAGAATCCAGCTAGCACTTTCCTAGAGTTGATGAGGATACAGTGACAGATGACAAGCTGGGGACACAGGATCATATTTTGTCTTTAAAAGGTCATAGGGGCAACAGCACGGAAGATAAACTCCAGGGAGATGGGGTCAAGACCTGGAAGCCAAGAGGCTGGGGGTTTGCTGAGCTAAGGCCTAATATGGGAAGAGGAGAACAGTTCTGAAAGCTATAAAGGTCCAATTAGACCTGGGAGATAAACTAGATGAACTCCAGGATGGAGGGAACCTGAGCTGGTTGGAATACAAACTGCTGAATTATTGAACTGAATTAAACAGGCTGCTAGACCAAGGGCTCAGGAAACAGTCCCAGAAGGCTTCTGGATACATTGAGACTGATTACCTGTTAACTTCCCTACAGAAATCTGGGTTATAGGGATTATATCACAAGATAAACTATATGATAAAGCATCATCTAAACCAAATAAATATTGGAGCCACACAGGTGCCTATTTACTACAGAAGACCCCAAAGAAATATATGACACATTTTCCCCTTCAAAAAGTTTATAATCTCTACTAGGGACCTAAGATGCCAGAAATAAGTTTTTAAAAAGATGCTTATTCAAATCTAATAAACAATGATATTAACTAAGAAGTGGGGGAAAATTAAGGTCCCTATTAATTAGACATCTGTAGAGGAGCTGCCTAACATAGGGCTCTTTGTCCCCCTCCAGGGACGAACTGACCCCAGTATGCAGTTGCCATGGAAGATCACTTAAATATTGTTGGTGTCAGGGAACAAGGACATCCAGGCCTCTTGTGATTGGAAGAAACAGAACATGATGTACATAAAGGAAACAGGACTGAGACAACTGAATCAGCAGAATCAGGAGACATTTTCTAATAGGAATTGATAGGGTCCAAAGGGAAAGGACAGAAGGCTGGCAGGTATCCAGGAGGGAAGTGCCACAGAAGCTTGGAACTAGGGCTCAGTGATATGATGAAGATCGGGAGCTCCAAAGCCACGATGGGAAATGAAGTAAAAATAATTATTAATAAATAAAAATAAGGAAATCAAGAGTGTCCATTTGTCTACTCTCATCTGCCTCCTTAGTCCTGTAACAAGGAGGAGCCGAGCACAGAAAAATTGATGATGACTAGGTACAAGTTGCAGGAGGCAATGTGCTATTATCGAAGTAATGATTTTTGTTGGACAAGTGCTAGTGGCGAGGCTAGGTCCGCGGTAAGGCTGCCAGGTGCCTCTCAAGGAGAGAGTAAGCTGCTAAGGATATAATTTAGTAGATTCTGGGGCTCACAAATCTAAAGTTTGAGTTTTTGAAACCAAGGCCATTTAATAATTTCCAAATTTATCAACCTCTGAATGTAAATATGAAGTAACTTTAGCAATGATAATAGCCTGAGCTTAAGACAAAGATTCTCCATGGCCCACTTTGACTGAACAAACTTGTAAGATATATGCCACAGCATTTAATTTATAAAAATTCTTATTCTAAAATGTGGCAAATAAGCTTTCTCAAATCTTAGGCAGAAAGACTCAGGAGCATCTGGTTTTATTTTTAATGACAATGATAGCAATAGGAGATTTAAACACTATGACTTAACTGTGAGTTGGTCTAGTTGTTATTTAACAAAGAACTACTTGACTAATGAGGTACCTAATCCTTCACAATCCTAAATTCTTGCTGTATTTCTGCAGCATGTGAGGTTACCCAGGCAGCTTCTCACATGCTGGCACTACAACTCCATGAAACTATTATGAAACTATTGTATCTCCTGTTCTTTAGAAAACATACTTTAAGACATATTTTAAGTTTCACTGAAAGAATTGTACTGACCATTCATTCATTGAATTAAAATCATTCTGTAAAAAAAAAAAAAAAGGCTGAAGATAATATTACAAAATAGCACAGAAATAATCTTCATTATTTCATTTTTATTATTTTCAATTCTTATGGAGGAAAATAGAGCTATCACTATAATGTCCCATTATAAAGGGTCACGAATTATTGTAAAAAATGAGAAAGATATAGTAATAATGGTATTAATGGTGCTTATGATTGTATATAAGATGAAATTTATTATTAGTTCTTTATTGTATCATTTATCAGTGAAATTAGTGGAATAATAACATTTTTGGAAAAAGCCAAAGCTTCAGATTATACTTTTTTAATTACTTTTGGCAAGCTGTTAAAATTCCTATTTCTTTTTTATACTTTCACCGCTGATATTTATTGACTGTTATTTCAGATTAGACTGTAAAAGGGAAATTCCAGAAGAATGTGACTTTCAGTATTTCAAAAGAGGAAGAGCAGTCTATTCTGAAAGGGCCTAGAATAATGTTAAAGATAAAAGGGTGAAACAAACTGCTCACTCCTGCTTCTCATTATTTAAAATAAAATACCATACTTTTCCTGTTTCAAAAAGAACTCTTTCACTAATTCCATCATTGCCAACCCATATATGAGATGCAGTTAAACTGAAGTTAATATGAAACAAACTTGTTATCCAAGCAAAGCAATGTCCATTTTTTTGATGCGCTTTATCCTTTTTCTCAATTAGAATAGATTACATCCTCATTCAATCACAAATATAATTTAGAAGGCATTAGCATACAATGAGATGATGTAGTAATAACAAAAGCTAATATTCATGGAGCGCTATTTGTCATGTGCTGAGTTAAACACAGATTATCTTAAAAAAAAGAATCGAACCCTGTGACAATCCTTTGAAGTATTATTAGATATTTTCATTTTACATACAGATATAGAAACTGAGGCTTAGCCAAATTAAATTGGTACATAGTCATTCCTGGTAAAATCAGATGAGATGATGAAGTATTAAAGGGTAACCGCAATTAAGGACAAGACAAATTTGTCTCCAAAACCAGAAACAGGTTTCAGACAGATATCTTGGAAAGGTCTGCTCTATCCTATCCCCACTACATGGCATTAGCAGAAGACAATAATGGTAGCTATATCCCTCAACTATTAAAGGTAGTTGTTACATAAGCTTTATACTTAGGTAGATTGATGCAAATAGATAAACACAAATAAGAACCAAGAGTCAAATGGATTATGGAGGTAAGGAACAAGTGTGATGTGAAACATACTATTAGTTTGATGACAATCTGGGAAACTGCAGTGATTCCCAAGGGAGGCACCACTGGTACTTGTGCATGTGCACAGCATGCATGTGTGTAGGGCAAAATTCTTTCTTTGTTGTTCCATGGTATCTTAAGACATTTCGCATCCGTAACCCCCACTTCTGATACTACATATCAGAAGTTCACCCAGTGTTTGTGACCACCAAACATACCCCTGCACAATTTTTGCTGACCTGGACTAAGAGCCAATGGATAAAAATACTGGGAGAGATGTAACTGACATTAAAGTGTGCATTAGGTACCAGGTAGTTATTCTGCCAGGTGCCTTCACACATATGTGCCATACACAGTAAAAATGTGGGGAAAACACCATTTAATCTTCAAAACCCCATAAGTGAGTACATGTTTTATCTCCATTTTGCAGATGTGGATCCTGGGGTTCAAAGTAAGGAAAGGTTAAGTAAATTAACCAAGAACACACAGTTGGTTTTGAAAGCAACAGTCTGGCTCTAAAACTCCACTTCTCTGGGTTGGCCTTTTAAGTCATAAAGATAAGCATGTCTTTCCATTCTTCAAAGAGGTTCACTCAGAAAACAAATCTTTATAAGCAGGAACATCATGTGTGTATAGTTATAAGCCAGAGTAGGATTAGTTTCCTGGGTTGGGTTTGGGTCACAGGTATGGTGAGGTAGTTACAGATGTGACTGGTAAGAGTTGGGCTGTGCCGTTCCTCTGCACAGGTATATATACATTGGAATTGCTTTGATCAGCGTGTGTGTGTTTCTTTCAATGGGATAAGAGATTTTTGTTACATTGTGTGAAGTCTACATGTTTTATTTAATACTTCCAGGGCTTTTACTATTCAACAGTCATGCTCCAATTGCTTGAGGATTTCTCATTTTAGCATGTATGTGGGGTGGTGAATGGGGCAGAGTGTGCACTATATGATGTGTGGTGGGCAGGCGTCTGAATATTATCTGTGCTGGAAGGACACAGGTCTGCTGTGAGGTGTGGTTAGAGCCATTTGTGTTGTGGTAGAACTGGTGGTGTTTGTGGCTGGGGGATGGGTTATGCTAGATGCATTTGGGAGGTGCTGCAAAAGTCTGTGGGCGCACCTCACATGTGGGGAGGTCGGTGTTGAATGCTGGATGAGTTCCACGGGAAGGGATCTAGGTTGTGTCCTAGGCCTGTGTACGGTGCCCGAAGAGCTGTGGACTGAGGTGTTCTCAGTGTGTAGTGCTATGTGCTGAGAATGGTGCATAGGAGATGATTCATGCGGTGTGCTGGCTAGGAAGGGGGAATGGAGGGGAGGGGGCCCGCGTCGTGATGTGATGTGTGTGTGCAGCGAAGCCCAGATCGGGGAGGTAGGAGATAGGGGAAGGGCAGATCTCGCCAGACCAGTGAGGGTTCCTGATACGATAGCCCGAGGCGTCGAATGGGAAAGAGATACAGGGAGTGGGAGGTCGGTGGGGGTGATCGCCGGCAGAGGAGCTGTAGGGGAGGAAGCTGGAAGTGCTATGAGACATCGGACCGGTGGAGGAGCTGCGTGGGCGCCGAGTCTGCATGTGTGTCTGTGTCTGTGTGTCTGTACCAGCCTCTTCCTCACCCCAGAGCCACCCCGGGCCATGTTCCCAGCCACCGCCGCCTCCCGCCCACCCCTTCCCTCCGCCCAAGGGCGCGCCCCCCCCGCCCCCCGCGCAGCCGGGACCCCCTCACCTGGTGAAGGCGAAGTACATGAGGCTGACGATGGTGAAACTGAGCAGGGTGATGGTGTGCGGCCGGTAGAAGAAGTCGATGGTGATGTCCTCCACTTGCTGCTCGTTGATCATCCGGAAATGCATCTTGTAGTTCACATCATCCTTGCTCAGGGTCCGGCTCCCCACGCAGGATGCCATGGCCCGCCTCCCCGTCCTGCGGCGGCGGCGGCCCCGGCCCGCGAAGGCTGGGACCCCGGGGATGACGAGCCGCTGCGGGCGGGCGGGCGGGCGGCCGGGCGGCAGGGCCGGGTCTGGCGCGGAGCACGGGCTGGCCGGCGAGGGCAGGGCGGGCGCGGGAGGGCGGGGTCGCGGCGCGGCCCACGGGGCTCGGGGGGGGGGGGCCGCCGCTGCCCGCGCGCGAGCGGGCGTTCTGGAAGCGGCGTGGCCGCGGGCTCGCGCCGCCTTCGCGCGCGCGGCGGGGAGGGTGTGCGCGCGGCGGCGCGCGGGCGAGGGAACGCCGCGGCCCCCGGCCCGCCCTGCCGCCGCCCCCGCCCGCCGCCCCCCCCGCGCGGGCGCGCGGATGGTCTCGCCCACTCCCGCCGCGGCCCACGTGGGCGGGGAGCGCGCCGCGGCGCCGGGCGCCGGGCGGCGGGCAGAGCGGCGGGCGTGCGGCGCGGCCGGACCCTACAGCGCGCCGGGCCGGGCCGGGTCGGGCCGGGCCGGGCCGGGCCGGGCCGGGGGCCGCCGCGGAAGAGCCCCGAGGCGCGCGCCTCGCCGCAGGTAAAGCGAGGGCAGCCGGGCGAGGGCCGCGCCCCGGGCTGGGCTCCAGGCCCGACCCGCCGCGCGCAGGCCGCGCTCCGGCGCCGCAGCCTGTAGGGCTGGGCCGCCCCACCCGAGGAGGCCGGCTGGTTCCCCCCAACCCCGGGGGCGCTAGTGCCGCCGGGCCGGGGCGCGCGCGGCCTGGGCACGGCTCGGAGGCGCAGCCCGGCGGGCGCTTCCTGCGGAAGTTCGGCGCGGGGAGCGAGCGCGGGCTGGGGAGAAAGGCCTGGGAGGACGGCCCCGGGCCCCTGGGCGCCGCGCCAGCCTCCCCACTGCCTGTCCAGGCCCTGGTTTCCTTTTTATTAGCTCTGCAGAGGTAGGGGCGCGTCTTGCTGATGGAGACGTGTTGGAAGACTGTTCGCTGCACGCCTGCAGATGCCCTGCCCTTACCGCCCCTGATGACTGTTTAGGCAGCTAAGGTCATCTTGGCGGCCACTGGTTTATTAATTTACAGCCAGAGGAGTTGATCGAGGCTCGAGGCCCGCGAAGGTGGAGGTGGGGAGTGGGCGTCACTGGGAGGAGGGGGATCAGACACTAGACCCAGGCCTGCGCTCGTGAACGAACAATCACTGAGGAGGTGTGGAGAGCAAAGGGAGGGTGATGTAGAGACGAGAGCGCGCTGGTACAGAAACACAGCATGAGCAATGGTAACGGTGTGCATGAATGTCTTAACGACGATGGATAGAGTTCTAAAGTATTAATTTGAGCCAGGGAAGGCTTCAGAGTGAACTTGGGATTTCAAGAGTTTGTTCTGGAATAGGATGAAGTGCTTAGGCAGACGTAGAAGTCAGAACATTTTAGAGCTGACAGGGAAAGACTTTAAGAAGCACCTTATCTTAGGTGCAATCTTTTAAATATATATATAATTTTAAAAATAAAATAAAATATATATTTAAAATGTATTATTATGTATGTATGTATAAAATTTAAAGAGTGGTTGTTGAACCCCCAGCATGGGCTAGCCATTGTGCCTGATCACCACATGGAACTTAGTTTTGTCAAGGTGGCATCACTGAGGTCTTCTGTCTTCCAAGTTAGTGTCCTTAGGAATTTGCTGTGCTGAGAATGAGTGCTGTAGGTTTGAGGGATAACTTGACAGATTTGGGCTCATTACCAACTCCACAAGGCTGAGATTAATTTCCTTTCTAAAACCGTTCTGGGATGACAGTGAGACTTTCCCTTTCAAGAGTCGTCTCTGAACTAGAGATGTCCAAGAGGAGGTTGGAGCCTCAAGTATTTGGTCTAATTCAGAGTATAAAACAAGCAGAATACCACTATACAGAAAATTAAGCAAAAAGTTAAAGGCAACAATTAGGCAGAATTCATCCATTTTTGGTTGTGTAATCAATAAGTGACTAACATTGTATTTCCCATGTTAGATTTCATGTTGTATTTTATGTGGACTATTATTTTATGTAAAACTAGATGCATCAAATTTACTTGGCTAACAACAAATACCACTAAGTTGGATAAGTATAAAAATCCTTTCTATTCCTAGAGTGTAGCAACAGCCTTTCCTGATAAACTTTAAAAATTGTTTTTTCAGACAAAATATACATATACTCATTGGTGGTTGCTTATTTCTGTCATTTCATTTTGCTTGTGAGTTTTGCCCTTTTCTCTTGGAAGGCTTTCTCCCTCTTTTTTCCTACAGTGAGACAGATTTTAACAAAACTGGTTTTGTTTAATTCCCTTTTGAGGGATAGTTTTATCTGGGAAATAATCAGTTGTTTAGCCTTGAGAATGAAGCAAAAACAGCCTTCTACATAGCATAATAATATTTTGATGATTCACTTATGACAAAGTAGGTTGTTTTCTATTTTGTGATTCAAATGCCCTTGAATAATTCATTGCTATTTTGATTACCAATCTGCTGCTTAAATGCCCTTCAACATAAATTTCAAAACCACTTAATTACATCACCTTATTTTCCTTAAATGATTAAATTAACAGAAATTATTGCATTTAGCTGTATTTTGAGCATTTACAAATGTTTATTTTAAATGTTTTTCTTACATGATGATTTTGCTTTTTGTTTCTAAATTGTAAGGCCTAGCTTTATTTTTCTAGTTCAGAAGTTCTTGTCTTTTGGTTAGTAATTGACATTGTCTTGGTTTTGGCTTTTCCTGTGCTTAAGAAACATTTGATTAGTCATCTAAATTTATTAAATACCTTATATTTAAAAAAACAGTTTTCAGTTTATCTTTGTATTGCTTTAAACATTTAAATAATGTAAGTTTCTTTTTTAATGACTGTATTTTTTTTGTTGTTTGTAGGCTACTGTAAGGAAAATGGCCCTGTCAGCCCAACAGTTACCCAGATGGTTCAGCTCAATCAAATTGGGTACCTTCATTAATGCTACACAACTCAGAAAACCACTTCGGAGACCAGGAAAAGCACTGTTGCATGGCTTTTCTGCTCAGCTTCAGTTATCCACTGACAATTACTTTCTCCAGTGGGGATTTAAGACATACAGGACTTCCTCCTTATGGAATAGTTCCCAGTCTTCCACCTCAAGTAGGCAAGAGGATAATTCTACTCAGAGGGCTCTACTTCCTTCTGTGACTGAGCAGGCACAGAAGACGCAAACATTTCCCAACTTTGATTCTGAACTATCTCTAGAAGGTAATTCTGAACTGAAGGTAATTGTATAGCTTTGGTAATTTAAACAAATTACCTGTTTACTTCCTTTTAGGCCATTTCAAGTCATACGTAGAGCCAAGAAAAAGTGAAGGAAAGTAAAGGAATTTTGTACAGTCATTTCAGGACTTTCTCCTTTTGTAATAGAAGTTTACCAACAAATTTCTTGGAGGAACAGTAATTCATCACTTTTTAAATAGTCTTAACTTTATCTCTTTGAAGGTAGAATATATTTGGACCTTTTAGGGAAAATCTGAAATGATCCCAAGATTTAAAAAGAAACAAACTAGAGGGCCTCCCTGGTGGCGCAGGAGTTAAAGACAGCGCTATCAAGCTATAGTCAGCCACTGCAGCACAAGTTTGATCCCATGCTGGCCAAGGAGTTCACGGCCCACATGGTGCAGCAGACCTCTCCTGCCTCACCCACTGCTCCCCTCAGCAGTGTATTCTGGTGAATCTGCCTGTTCTGCTCCCTACTCCCTCTGGTGAATCCTCTCACCCCACCACACCTCTGGCTTACACCTCAGTTCTTGTATGCATAAATAAATAAAACTTAAAAAAAAAAAAAACTAGAGAAGAAGTTGTCTTTATAGAAATAGCATTGAATACAGGTTAGAGAGCTAACTAACATCTCTCTTTTCACATGACTGGCTTCACAGAACTGGATGATTTGCCTCCATTGTCTCCACTGCAGCCCATTTCCGATGAGGAGGCCATTCAAATAATTGCAGACCCTCCATTGCCCCCAATTTCATTTACACTTCGAGACTATGTAGATCATTCTGAGACTCTTCAGCAGTTAGTGCATCTAGGTAAGTGAGTAACATACTGGTACTTCTTGAGCGTACACTTTGCTTATTTTTTTGCTTTTTTGGTTAGCATTTATCAAAGTACCTCATACACATGAACCTTTCTGACCTTGCATCCCATTCCCCAGAGGTCATTACTTAACTCTTATAGCTCTTTCTGATTATTTTTAACCTCTAAAAAGATATGTAATTGTTAATAGTGCTATTGCTTAGTTCATCATTTTAGAAATCAGTTGATATCTTATATATAATAGACACATGTATCCCCTATTTTCTTTACTTTTCTCAATATAGTTACATTAACAATTTTTAGATAAATCAGTAGGCAGTGATTACATTGACTATAAATATTGCTCACTTCATTCCAGGAAGTGTGCTGTAATTGTTTTCTGTACAACTTTTTATTTTCCTAGAATTAATAATTGCCTTTGTTTTATTTGACTCGTTTTTTTCATTCTTTGGATTAAATTTTCCCATCCCTTCCAATGGCCTCAGGACAGTTTTTCATACAGCCAGCCCTGACAGATGATGCATTAATTCCATTCCTACATTACCCCTTGATCTTCCTCCTAGAAGCCATTATCATGATTTAAAGATTTGAATGGTTTCTCTCTAGGCCTGTTCCATATCTGTCTCAGTTTGTTGGCAGATATAGTGTGCTTTTGGATCTAGATAGGTGATGTCGGCACTACAAACTTTTATTTAGTCCTCTTGTTTTCGTTGTAGCACTTTATTGCAACCCTCTGATTTTTTCATTATCACTTGCTCTGGGCACTTCTCTTACTTGATTTGTTCAGATAATGAACCTTTCTCTGGGGGGATTGAGAGGAACAAGTAAGGGATTATCTCTCAAATTCACCGCTTCTCTCATTCTGCACTCACTGCCTTAGTTTAGGTCCTCATTTTCACTAAGTTAGAAACTACTTAACTTGGCAGTCTTTGTATCAGCAGTACTCCCCTGATAATCTCTCTAATTTTAATGTTCTTTC